GCAGCCGAGGGTCCAAAAACCTCGCTGCAAATATGCCGTTTCGCAAGCCCATTCCATCAGCGTCCCTGACAAATTTTTGGCCACCGACCAAGAGCAACGGGAGGGCAAAGCTGACCTCCCAACATCTAGGAAGTCTGAAAGACGAAGGTATGTGGTGCAGCAGTGCTGCACGCCGCTGGCATAAGCCGTTTGGTCGGCCTTGGTGTCATTCCCCTGCCGGGGACCAGGCGACCTTCCCTCGCATGCCGCAGCAAATCCGCTTTGTTCCGCGGCGTTCCGTAACAAAGCCCTGCCACAAGGGCTGAATGCCGGCAGACCGCAATACCATATTCTTCGACACTGACCAGCCATCAGAAGGCGTCGTGGAGCACGCAGCCCACGCCTGGGTAAAGGAACCTAATTAGCGTGTCATACGGGTGCTAATTGCACACATTAGTAAGCGATTAGCATGCTGGCATATCTTATATACACAAACGTATATATATATATATATATATATATATATATATATATACATATACAGGCATGGCGGGTTGGAGACGGTCGGCCGCTGATGCAAGCGGCGGCGCCGCAAGGGTGGGTCGCCGGGAGCGCCGCAACAGCGTTCGGACGGCCGCGCCGGAGAGGGAGCGTCGGCTGCTCCCAGCCGCGCCGCAGCAGCCGGGCTCGCACGCCCCGACGCAGGTGGTCACCGCGAGCCTGGAGCCGGCGCCGCCGGATGACTAGGTCCCAGAGCTCTGCCGACTCGGCGTCACACGCGAGGCACGACGCGTTCGCCCACAGCGGAGGACGTAAGGAAACCGGCGACGGAAACGTCGCGCCCTCTATGACGGGGCGGGAAAACCCACGCGCTGGCCGTTCCGGTGCTTGCGACGTATGACGCTTTCACCAGTCAACTCATCAAGAACACGATACAGCGTCGCCAACCGATGCTTGGAAACGCTCCCATTACGTTTCAAAAGGACACCAGCACTGGGCCAGCGACCGCGCCTGGTTGATGAGCCTGACTTCGGCCGGCCCGCATCACGCATCTGCACGGCGGCCGGATCTGCACAGCGGCAGACCCGGCCGCGTCACGACGCGCGAGCCCCGCGGCGCCGTGACCGACCGGCACGGTCACCGGCCAGGCCCCGGCGCGCCGAGCGCAGACCAGCTGGGTCAGCGCGGAGTAGGGGACACGGAGCCATGCGTCACGCTGTGAGACCTGTTTACGGCGCGGTCACCATGAGTCAGCCACGGGCCCGGTGGCAGCGCTGCCAGCGCTGATCGGATCGGATCAGTGCACGGCGCTGATCCGATCCGCACGCAGCCAACACCAGGATAGCGCACGCCCAGTGCCGATCCGATCCGAACACAGCCAGCACCAGGACAGCGCACGCCTGGCGCCGATCCGATCCGCACGGAGCCAGCACCAGGACAGCGCACAACCGACGCTGATACGACCAGAACACAGCCGGCACCAGGACAGCGCACGCCCGGCGCCGATCCGACCAGAACGCAGTCGGCACCAGGACAGCGCACGCCCGGCGCTGATACGACCAGAACGCAGCCGGCACCAGGACAGCGCACGCCCGGTGGGCGCGACAAGCACGCCTGGCTGCGGTCGAGACAGTTTCATCGTCATCATCCTGCTTGACTGGCAGGCCTACATGTAGTGCGCCTCTCGAGCACGCCTGAGCACCTAATGACGAGCACGCCGGCCCACCTGCGAGGGCAGGTCGTCCGAACCGCTGCCAGGCCGCGGCCGTGGCTGCGCTTGTGCACCGCCGGCCACGTGGCGCCGTCGCTAGCCCGCAGCTGGCGCTCGCCAGCCGCCGGGCGGCCGCCGGTGTACCCAAGGGAGCGGGCGTCTCCCGGCGGCGGCGGCGCCGCGTCAGACAGGGCGGGATCTCTCCGCGCGGCGACCGCTGCCGGGGCTCGCTCCGCCCAGCCCGCGCGTCTGAGCCGCCACTACCACTGTCAGGGCATGTTCCAAGAACGACGCGTCGCCCGGAGCGGACGTGCGCGCTGACGACGGTGGGGACGCCCGGGGGGGGGGGGGGGATAAGGCTCGCTTTCACGGCCAGCAGCACGGCGACGCTGTCCGCGGGGACGACCACGCGGTTGTGTTGCTTCATCTTGGCCCGTGCCACTGCCTTCCGTTTCGTTTCGTGTCGGCAAACACAATGGGATCTAAACACTTTCACTCATATCCTGCCCACATCCATATCCATTCGATAACAACCACAATACCAAATACTTTTGGTGACAATGCCCACTCCATTCGTTTATGGTCTTAGCGCAGCTTTACAGGTGATCATTTGTCTGACTCCGCAGCTTTACAGGTGATCATTTGCCTGACTCTGTACGACGCATGACACGTCAGCCAGCGGCAGTAGCTATTTCGGTCCTCGCTAACGGCCCCCTCCCCCCCCCCCCCCCCGCCCCAATAACCTTCAGCAGGCCGCGCAGGAACCGCCCACCACGTCCAGACTGAACACGCAAGCTTGCGGCCAGGTGCGCCACCGCTCCTGCGGTGCCAAATGACCGGGCATCTGTCTGAGCCTGGCCTGGCTCTGACTCTGACTCTGGCTCGGACACTGACTCAAGCTCGGGTTTCATTTGGACGCTTGGAAGCAAGTTCTTCACTGATTTCTTTATGCTGACACACATGGCCAATAGGCTCGGAGCTCCTCTCCTGTTTGCTTACGCTACTCGTACACTTCCTTCTCGACCACTGAATGAGCCAGGCCTAGGTCACACTGAAACAACACCAGCCACGTCACGTCGGCGCGCTGAGACGAACACGATGAGCAAGAGCGCATAAGCAGTGCTGCGTGGTAAGCGGAGGATGTCCAGAGGATGAGGCGGCCCGGAAACGCTGGCGGCGCAGCTGTCCGCGCGCGCGTCACCAAACCACCACAGTGGTGACCGAGCGAGACATGCAAACGCCGCAGTCGCGCGGTGCAGCCGGCCGAAAACGTCACCAGCCATCTCGTCCACGCTACCTGCGCCAGCGCGCGGCGCAGCGCCCCGGCGCCTGGGGAACCGACATCGGAGAAACGTTCGCGGTCTGATGACGTCGAAACGGGGAAACGGGACGCGCGTCCGTGAGCACGGCCGTGATTTCCCGCATGCACGCGCCGCCGTGTTCACGCCGCCCGCACGCGCGGAGGTCCGCCGCCGGGCGGGTGCAGCGCTGGCGGCGGCGCGACACACGCCGCCGGGTTGGCACGCCCGTCGCGTCGGCAGCGGCCAGGCGACTTTGGCAGCGTCCCATCACGACGCCCGTCGCCAGCCGGCGGACAAAAAGGGCGGCGTCCACAGCACCGCTCTGCACAGCCGTAAATCCGCGGCAGGCGTCGCGGCCGGCGGCGCGGCGCGTACCGCGCCGCTCAGCGCCACCGAGACTCGCGGGACGACCGAGGGGGCACCGCGCGCGGCAAAGGTCAGCGCACGGCGCGCGCCAGTTAGGAGGTCGGCGCACGTCGCGCAGAGAATGCGCCAGGTGAGCAGACGAGGTGCAGGTCATCGCGCTGGGCTGCAAACACACCAGGGGACGCCGCACAATTCCAGGGTCGTCCCCGGTGGCGCGAGATGGCCGGCTGCAGTCCGCGAGACGTCGCAGTTTCGCCTCACCCGCCGGTTGCGATTCGAGCCCGTTTCACCCAGCCGGGCCAGGTGACGCCGGATTAACGCGGTCTGGAGAAACCCACAACACAAGCAGGCTGGCAGGCGCTCGCCGGTGGCGCAACGCACAGCCGCTGCTAGCCACAGCAGGGCGTCTCTCCGATAGCCTCGGCGCATGAACGCACCAAGGCCACAGCGCCGGCCATCAACGGGAAACCGTCCAGCGTGGTGAAAGAGCGCCGGGTGACGCAACCGAGCGGCGGCTCCTGGCGCGCGCCGCTGGCGGGTGGCGCCCAGCGCCCGCGGGCGGAGGGGGCGTCTCCACATAGCGGGCCGGCAGCTCGGATGCGGCGGCAACCACGGCGATCGGGCGGCGGGCGACGCTCTCCGTTTGATGACGAGACGAAGTGGCACAGGCCCGGTTTGGCGGTCCGTCCCACAAGCCGAGCGCACACCACCGTAAGGTACACCTTCCACTCGCAGGTTCGAAAAGCTCGGCGCAGCAGCCTCGGATTCTGACGTCATCTTTCATATGACGAGTGGTCTCATTTCGAAATCGGCATGCCTGTTGCCATCACTGCCTGGCAGCACACGCCGCAAGCGTTCCGCAGGCTGCCATTTTTTAACGACGACAGTTGGCCTCTTTATATCAAGCATATGCTTCCTTAATAATGAAGATGTGTGTCTTTGCAAATCACTTTTGAAGCAATGCTGTTCCGTAACTCGCGTTGATGTTTACTCGAAACGGAATAGCTGACACCCCTGGAGTCCATAACAAGTTAAGTCAACTTTTCTGCGGTATATCCAGACCGCGCACCGCGCCGAAGTTCCGTCATAAACCATGTGTATGTTACGACCGAACCGGTTTCATCCATCTCTGGTGTGTCTCTTTTTAACAAGAGCGACGTACGTCGTCTTTTTCCTTTCGTGGAGCGCCAGCAATTGCACTGGCCATATCAGCACTCAGGGGCATGGCGCAGCCAGGATCCAAACTCATCTCACATGGCCAGCATCCAATACCGAGGCAAAGGTTTCGGTTGACTTTGACTATACTTAGATTGGCTGACTACTAGTTTTCGGGCGGGTCGATTGCTGGTGTCATTGTGCGCCATCTTTTGTCGGCGTGAATTAGTGCGAGTCTGGCTGCGTGGGAGCGGCCGCGCCGCCGCCGCGCCGCCGTGCGAGAACGGCGGGGCATCGGAGCCACGACGGCCCGCTCCTGCGCCGCCGGACCGTCGCCACCACCGGGTGCGGGCGGCGAGGGCTCGCCGCGACCCAACAGCCTGCTGGGCGCCGCTGCCGCTGGGCGCCGCTGCCGCCGGGCGCCGGCCGCGCCCCACCGCACACATCAGCGGCGCGGCGCAGGAGCAGCCGGTCGCCGCCGGACCCACCTCGCAGAGGCACGAGCCGTTGTGGCACTCGCCGTGCGAACAGGCGGCCGGGCAGCTGGCATTGCGCGTCATGACGCGGCGCAGCAGCGTGACGTCACCGAGCGTCAGGTCGCGCAGGTGCCGCACCAGCGCCAGGCCGCCCTCAAGCGGCGTCATCTCCACCGCCTGCCGGACAGAGGGGCGCCCAGCGGGCGGTCAGCAGGCGGACGGCGGCCGCGGTCGGCGAGACGGTGCAGACGGCGGCGGCATAACGGGCGCGCGGCACGGCAGCCAAACGGTTTACCACACAAACACCGCAAACAGCCACACGGCACAGAACAGCACAATGCGCCCGCACCGTGCAGCACAGTTACACACCACAGACCCATCACGCAGACCTGAGAACGACCACAGCACAGGGTGTATTCACGGTACAGGACGAACGACACGTCTATTTCGTGGCTCACATGAAAACACGATTGGTTACCGCCACCAACATAAAATGAACACCGCACTCATCATGTTGTTACCCACAGCCAAACAACATGTCACGCAGATATCCTCCACACGAGGGACGATAAATGTTTGGTAAACAGCTTAATTCCAACACAAAATCTTGCATTCCACCAACCATGTATTCCTCCCATGCACTGCATCCCCCCAAAGAGCAACATCCACACTCGAGCCCGTATACAAAAGACCCGAAACGTGCCCTACATCGCCCCGGGACGGAGCTGACCTTTGCTGTAGCCCGCCATGCGGGGCAGCAGCTGACCATGGCCTCGCGGCAGCGGGACACGCTGGCGGGCGGCGCGACGGTCCGACACTACGGCCGCCGACGACGAAGGCCGAGGACGCGGCCCGATCTCCGGGACAGCCCCGGGAGATCGATCTCGCGCCGGCGGCCGGAGGGGAGGGGGCTCGGGTCGGAGACAGATCGATGCGTCGGGGAGGAGCGAGAGAGGCGGCGGTCGGTGACGGTCGGCGGCGCCCCGTGTGGGTGACGGCCGAACCCGACCCGGACCGTGCTCTGGTAGCTGTCGGGCTAAACGGCAGCGAACGACCATTGAGCTCCAAGCTCGACTGGACTCGACGAGACCACCGGAAAGATGAGCTCACCCTCACCCGAGCAACGGACAACACAAGACCCGACCTGCACAACATACAGTCGCAACAAGCCCGACCTGAGCAGGCAACGAGCAACACACGAATCCATGCCAGCGGCGCAGTACCCGGCCAGCGCGGCCAAGCAAGCAGCCGAGCTAGCGAGCTCCTCTCCAGCTCGCTAGTCGTCCGGTGCCGCCCCACAGCGTCGGCGGCCATGGAGCGGCACGGCTCGGCGCCAGCCCCGGCTGGTTGCCGGGCGCCGGCGGCCCGACACACGCAGGGGACCGGACCGGGCCGGGCGGCCGCGGCGCGTGATCACGTGCACGTCACGGGAACCGCCGCCGCCGGCCGCCGACGCGGTACGCGGCTCTAGCCGCGCAGGTGGCGGCGGTCGGGGCTGGCTCGAGGAGCGCCGCACAAAGAGCGCGTGATCGGGATGATAGACACCACCGCACCTGGGACACAGGAAGATACCGCGACGCTGCGAACGAACGGCGCTCTGTCGCTCCGGTAACGTTTATTCGGCGAAATTCGCCAGCGCAAATACTAGACGGGACCAGTTGCTGCATGTGCCAAGGTCACGCACCAAGGCAGGTGGATCGCATTTCTGCTCCAGAGCCCCGGCGCCGTCCAGCCTGCTGACGCCATAGCTCGCCTTACCCGGGCACGACCGGTCCGCGCTGGCCCTGAAGGAAAGGGTGCCAGCACGAATCCCAGCTCTACTAGAACAATAACACTATGCTGAGTAGCACCAGACGGCAGCTGAGGAGCTCGGCAACATACCCATGTGCCTGACCAGTTGCCCAACCTCAGATGCAGCTGATGTAACATAATTTGGGCCCAATCAAACGGGCCTGACACGGGCACTGCGCCCCTTGTCAGCAGAAGCCACCTTTGCACCGCATTCCCCAGTGGCAGGTCCTGGCTCCTGACACCGACCGAGCCCGTGAAGGTCCAGCCGCGATGGCTACCGGCCATCTCCGGCCAAGGTCAGTCGGAGCCAATCCTCTGACGTCCCCTGCGCTCTGGCCGCCTGAGAGGGCGGCCAAAGGTGCTCTGACCGATCCCGTGACGGCCGCCGCGGCTCACGCGCGCCTCGCACCAGGAGAGCTAGCTGCGCGCACGCTGAGGCACAAACCGCTGTCCACTGTTGGGGTTCAATGTTACCACCGGAGGTGAGACCCTCCTGCTGTGTGTACGCCGCCCCCCCCCCCCCCCTCCCCGACCCTGCCGTGACGCACCGTGCCGTGTCCGTGACCCGCTGTGTACACAACGTCACCGGCCGGGCTGCCACGCTGTGCGCAATGTCCGTGACCCGCTGTGTACACAACGTCACCGGCCGGGCCGCCACGCTGTGCGCAGTGTCCGTGACCCAGCTGTGCGTCGACCCAGCATCGCAGTGCCGGAACAAAAAGGCGCTGTCCCACAACAGCCTCCCACCTGCGCGCGGGCGGGTAGGGGCGACTGCCGCGAGGTCGCCCGGCCCGACCCGCCCCACTTCCCGTCCCGGCTGCCCGTACAGGTGCCGGGCCGAGCGGGCCGATCGCACAGATCACGAACACGCCGGCGGATGGCCAGCTGCAAAGGCCCAGCCGATCCCCGGTGAACAGGAGCGAACAATGAATCATCCGGCATGCCTGTTTCTTTGTGCCGGGAAAGCGACCCGGAACGCTGCAGCATACCTATCCTCGGGGACGTGCACGCCAACGCCCGCCAGGGAAGCATCATCCACGGCGTGGCGCCGGGTACGTAGTGGCCAGGGGTCCGTAGAGCCGGCAGTGGCTGCGACGGCGGCGGCGGAGCATTGCCAGTGCTGCCGCTCCTCATGAGCGCCGGCGAGAGAGGGGACCGCACGCTGCTGTCTCTGTCCCGACGGGCGACACCAGGTGACCGACAAAGGGGGTGCCGTGCCGCGAGAGAGGGCCGCGCGCTGCTGTCTCCGTCCCGACAGGCGACACCCGGCGGTCGACACAGAAGAGTCCCGGGCCGCGAGAGATGGGACCACGCGCTGCTGTCTCCGTCCCGACGGGCGACACCAGGCGGCCGACACAGGAGAGTGCCGTGCCGCGAGAGAGGGGATCGCGCGCTGCTGTCGCCGTCCCGACAGGCGACACCAGGCGGTCGACACAGGAGGGTGCCGTGCCGCGAGAGAGGGGACCGCGCGCTGCTGTCGCCGTCCCGACGGGCGACACCAGGCGGTCGACACAGGGGATGCCGTGCCGCGAGAGAGGGGACCGCGTGCTGCTGTCTCCGTCCCGACGGGCCAGAGCCTAGTTTTGATAAGACCGCGCGCTACGGTCCATCCTAGCGGGACAAGGGCTGTAGCACTGGCAGTCCTGTCCCGTCCCAGCATGCAGGGGTCACCACGACAGCCACGGGCCACTGTCCTCGCAACGCCGAACAGAGACAGCGAGGTTATCCGGGCACATAGCCGGGTGTGAATCCGACTCACCTGGGAACGTGCGGTAACAAAGGCTGCTCAATACACACCACATATGATTGACGCGAAGCCGGCCCGTCCATTGACAGCGGCGTGATCGGGACGTCGACCTGCACAACATGCCATTTGAAATGGGAAAATGAAGCCGCACACCACCATTTACAGCAGCCAACGACAATAGTTTCTCATATTCGGCGATCAAGAGTCACGCACAGCTTGGAAGGCTGAGGAAAAAAACCAGGATCGACATTCGTTCCACCACTACTAATCAAGACGGAGCCGACCGCGGTGGCAACAATTAGTTGTACACAAACAGCAGTTTCCACGCTCAAACACCGGGCGATCAGAGTGTGAGTGACTGTGCAGCTTACCACGACGTTAAACATCCCTGCAACGAGCCTTTCGACGCATGTTGTTACATGCCCTTCAACGTGCCTTCCCCGAACCCCTTTTGCTTATTGTATTCTAGCACCCTTACATTGTGAAACTTGTCTGTCGCGCCTTGGCGTTTATTTATGACCCAGTTTCCATCCACCTTGACGGGCGCGGGAAGTGAGTTGTGTTGCGGATGTGTCTGTAAGTCAAATAAGCACACGCACACATGCTTAAACAACTCCGTATCTCCTGCGATTTTGTCGCAGCAGTCAGATCTGGCCTTGACAGAAGCAGACGCATCAGAGATGTGCCTACACCTTGCACATGTCACATATCCTTGAGCTTATTAAGCTTGCAAACATATTAATGTTTCAAGCTAAAATCGCTATGGAAAAGCAAAAAAAGTTTAATCCCTCACCTCCCCCACCCTCCATGCAAGTGAGCCAAGACCCTTCCCGGCCTAAATGTTTTGTCTCACTGCGTTACCTTTGAGCTATTTGACAGAAAGCGATTGGACGTGCCGCACACCCCTCCCAGCCAATTATGAAGCAAGAGGGCCAGGTAACTCGACACAGCCGATCGCTGCTCATTCCCGTCCGTGTCCACACCTCGGCGCGGGTCTCTCACCATGTTTCGCCGGCATACCGGCCGGGTGCACGGCACCACTCCGGGCGTCCACTGTGCCGGAGTCGGTAGGTTCCACCCTCGGCACGCGCCGCACCACCTCTGACCGGCTCGTCCCGGGCGCCGGACACCCACGCTATCTTATCGGTCCGGCCGGCACACACCGGCGCACACCTCCACACACACACACACCCGACAGCGGCCGGCGCTCGCGCACGCACCTCGCGCTGCGGACAACCCGCAGCTACTCCGGCGGCGCGCGCGCCAGCTGGCGGCCTGCAGTGGTGACGTCACCGCGCGGCTCCGGCGGGCAGTGACGTCACAGACGGCAGACGCCGCTGCTGCTGGTCCATGGCGCCACCCCGTTAGCAATGGACCCGCACTGGACGGCAGCACGCGACCCTCCCCGCAGGCGCGGCGGCTGGGCAAGCGGCGGCGTCTCTCTCACCCTGTGTACACGGGCAGCTAGAATTCGGATCCACCGTGGAGTCGGATCCGAGTCCGCATCAGAGTCTGAGCCGACCGCACGGCAGATCCGAAGCTCAGCTGCCCGTGTCAACAGGGCGTCTGTCCTGTTTCAGCCCGGGACCCCATCCTCGGGGAGGTCCGCACGACCGGATCACAGGCAGCGGAAGTCTACCAACCCAAAACCGTGCTCCTGGCAGTACATGTCGACGTGGCTGCGGGCACTCATTGAAGTAGGAGGAGTTCAAACAACCGGATGGAATAGACGACCAGCCGTCACAGCTGACGAACGGAGATGTTGACAAAACGGTGTCAAGTGCCGAACCGAAGAGCAAAGGCCGATATTTCGTGCGTGGCTGCCACTCCAATGCCACATATTTGGACGCAACAAGAAAGGCATCCAATAACGTCAGCCATGAAATGTGGACGGTGCTAATGACAGCACCTATGGACAATAAATTCATATCTAACTTAGTGTCCTGAAATTGCCACCTACTGAGGTGACATAATACATCACTCAACGTCCCGAAAATGAGCCACCCACTCCAAATGTTGACCTGATCTGCCTCGGATAGCGTTGGCGATATGCTAACCGATCGGTAATATTGCGAAAGGGTCGGCGCCGAAGCGCAAGGGCAGCATTCGTCCGACATCAAACCGCACGACCGTATGAACTCTCATTCAATTGCATGGGGTTATGTGTATGCTAAGACGCGTCGAAAAATACTTTTCGACGGTCTTATCAAGCCAGCAGGAGAATTTCGGGGCGTTTCATACATCTGTGATGCTCCGACACAGAGGTTCTGTGGTTGGATGCGTGGCCTAACATACATACGACAATGTAAAGAGCAGAGGCTGCAGAGCGGCCCTGATGAGCAGCGCGCCCCTACACGCCAAACAGCAGAGGCGCCCACCCGCCGGGACCTTTGGCAGGGAGTCGAACACTCGCTCGCTGTCAGAGCGTCTGTCATATGTGACAGGCACCCCGTATATAGGCCCGCCATATCCACACATATGGCGGGCCTATTCTGACATCTCAGGATCACTTGTTCTCTGGGGTCACCAAACCAAAGACCAATTACTGGTGCAACATGTTCACCAGATCATTGCCTTGATGCTTTTTCATGCAAAATTGCTCCTGTGACAAGGCAACCACTTCCCAGCTGCTGCCTGGGCCCGAGCTAATCAAAGGCCTACCAGTCAGGCTTGAGGCAGTGACATCAGACTTACTGGCAGAACAAACAATACAATCAGATACATACAGTATGAACAAACAATACAATCAGATACATACAGTATGAACAAACAATACAATCAGATACATACAGTATGAACAAACAATACAAAAGGGTTTAAGGTGACACATCAGATGCATACAGCAAGGGCATATCACAACACACTAACAATGTGTACTGACAAAATGATAAAGGTGGAAGGCAATCCTTATTCAATTATTGGCACACAACATGCAGCAATACAATATCTAAAATAGGCAACATATATGAGGTTGTAATGCTTAATAGCTTTCAGGATGGATGCTGTCCTGCCAAAATGTTTGTATTTTAGCAACCACCATGAACAGCTATATTTGTCTGCTATCATAACCAGTGAGGGTGTTGCAATTGCCAGATTTCTAGTGCAAATAAACATCAGCTCAGTTTTAGGTGGAAATTTGACTGATTTCTGAATGTGTACTGCATATATTACTCAACATTACATTACAAATGTCATGCATTAAATTTTGGCCTAGTAGCTAATATGCCTTAAAATACTGATTGTAATGCCATGAATTATTTGGAATTTGCCTTGCTCCTACAAACAACTACACACCTTAGTGATTGCCAAAAAAGCATAGAATTAGAAATAAACTACAATGTGATAAAAACACCATGTTACATTGAATGGTACTGTGTTGAAATATCTCACAGGTATTGCATAACCAAAAATTTTGAGAGCAGTTATAGTGACAGATGGAACAGCCAACAATTACCAATTTATGTCATGCCTGCAGAATAGAAGGGCTGAGCAGAACAATTTCCAAGGGTGAGTTATGCATTAACCTTGCAGATTGAACAAACGATGAATCACAAAATACGAATAAAGTACATCTCAGAGAGATGCCTTTGTGTTATTACATGAATAAGACAGTGACATTGTCGCAATAAGACCACCTCCCTGCCAGGTGTCCACATGGAGGTGCAAGGGGTGTATGCAACACCATTTATAAAAGTAAGATAAACCAAAAAAATACAAGTGCATGTTTGCAAAATAATGTTTGCATGTCTGCAAAATAATGCAAGTGCATGCAACTGCATGTTTCATACTGTATGCAAGTTTGAACCTTAACATGAACCCTAATTCCAGCTGATCTGATGTGATTGCCCTTTAGTTTGATGCAGGGCACACAAACTAGATCACTCTCCACAGTAAAATCATAACAGAACATGTGACATATGCCCTCTTTTCAGCATATCCAATTGTGCACCACTTTTATACCCATACTTAGTTCACACTCCACAATTTTCATTGTAAGCCAATGGCACACTAGATGGCCCAGCAACGCTTACCTCCCTGATGCTATCGTGCGAGCTGCTTCGAATGCAGCTGGGCTGCCTCACAGCAGCAGCTTGTTATCTTTCAAGAAAGCGTCATCGAATTGTACCTGAACAACATGCAAAGAAACTAAAACTGTTGACGGGCGAACGCGAGGCGCAAGCGCACCTGCCCTCACGAACTCCCCAGTTGCAAGCGAACACGGCGCAGGAACAACGCAATCCAGGGGGCGCAAGCCAACAGGCAAACCTGGCGCCTTGCTGCTCAGCTAGAGACCTCTATGCTAGAACTGCTAATACGGTGGCGCCATCTAATCCGAATGAAAATTGGGCGCCACATAGCGGTTTTAGAACAAAGATACTTATGGAGGACGTCCGTATCCGAGAAGTGATTTTAAAACCAAAAAAGTGCATGTGGATAAATAACGTACGCAAATGCCTGTAAGCTAATGTAGGTAAGGTATGTCTAAAAACATTGTTGATCTGGGATATCGTACGTGTAAAAACGACAATATTTGTACCGGCTTGTTTCCATTCAACGGGAGATTCCAGAATGACGATCCCTTCCCCAGCATTGGTCATGGAAATATTCATGCAAACAGATTCAGACATGCGTTGACACGCGGTCAGGTGGGGTGGGGTCAAATCAACACACACACACTTACACGCACTTACACACACTTACACACAGTTACACACACAACACACACACGCACACACACACACCGAAGGTTTTAGCTGTAGACAATTGAACAACGGATCGTCCGACATAAAACAATTAGATGTACCTTGCAAGGTTGTTGACCTATGGTAAGTCCAAGCCAGGCCATGGTTTCAGGGAAAGCAACTTCCAGGCAATCATTCAATGTAATCCAACAATGGAGTGTTAAACGAAGCCATACATGTCTGATATGCGTTCTTAGGCAACACAGCAGTTGAGCAAACAAATTGCATTCACCCATAGGCGTAGGAACGTTTCAAAAAGTGGGGGACCAAGCTCAGGGTGTACTTCAGGAACTTTTCCTGGAAAGCAAGCCCGATGACCTGGAGAGGGGGGATGAAGATTGTTATCGCTCTTTTTTCAGATGTCATGGCTGCCATGCTAGCTTTGCATCTGGAGCTATTGATCAGTGGAGCTTCCCTAGATTATTCGTCCATTTTAACATTGTCTTTCCTGGGGAGACGAAATTCCACGAGTTGGTAGGTATTCCGGGTCATGAAGGAAGCATTTGCCCCCCCCCCCCCAGTGTAGATGCCAAAATACGGGATGGATATAGGCTGGTAAGAATTTTGAAAGTGGATCGATGGCCCACGGTGCGCCAGGTTTTTCACGCGCCTCCATTTCACTGGCCGCTTTTCAAGAAATAAGACTTGTCACATAATTTCAGGCGGAAACAAATTCGGGAGCTTGAAACTGCTAGAAACAATGTGACAAAATCCATAAAACTGGAGATTCTCTTTTAAGAATCAAGCCACATGATGAGGCCCATCTGTCATATGTTCCTTACCTGGGCCCTGATTCTGTCCGCCGTCGGTGGTCACTGTCCTGGCCTGGATGTCTCCCGCATGACTGACTGCGAGCTGATAGTGTGGCTACTCTGTTGCATACTTTTGGATCAGCATTACTTCTACATGGTGTATGAAACATGTGCTGGACGCCTGCAACAGCATTTTTCCCGAACTATCTTCCCTTATACCACGCATTCGCAGAAAAATAGCATCCGGGAAGCTGTTTGCCTTAGGTATGGATTGGCCCAACGGACACTTCATTGCCCATCATGCAACGTACGCGACTTGATCTGCTTTTGTGTGTAGACAGGGGCGTAGCCAGGGCCTTGCCAAGAGGAAACACAGGGTTGAAAAAGCATCTTATGGTGATCCCCCCAAATCCCCGGATATAGCTTGGTTGTTAACAAGTGACACGGTTTTCTTCGTTTATTGTTATTTTTACCTTGTAACCAGAACAGAAACAAGGAGCTACCGTGAGCTCAATCTGTTTGCATTTTGAGGTCAATAACCTGAAGAAATCAGGGCGTTGAACGACTGCATGGAAGAGATCACTGGCGCTCTTAATTTACAATGGTTAGCTGACTCTTTCTAAACCGAGAGAATTCAGAAACTTTGTCAATTCTATATCTGGGTTCTACAGACATTGAGGGCGTCGCGAAAGTAGATCGTAGATCGATATGTTTGATCCAA